TTAAGTAGGTGGTGACTAACTGGTACAGACTTCTAACCATGCACCTATTTTAGAATGTTGCATAAAGAAACCTATGTTGTGTTTGAACCATGGGACAGATACCTACCATTTGGGTTCCTATATAGGATACCATTCAGACTTTGTACCAGTTATTTTTCTCTTTGCTGTGATCAAATATGACCAGAAGTATGAAGGTGTAAGTCACAAACAATCCCACACCAGTTTGGAATTATGATTAATAGAATGGTTATTTATTTAAAAGGAAAAAACTTAAAGATCACCGTCCCAGACAACAGCCCTCTGCACGATCAGGAAAGGAGTCTAGTAGCCAGAAGCAGAGCCAGAAGCACACAGCTACCGCTGCTTTTTAAAGCAAATGAGACCACACCCAAGTAGGCTGGTATCTTAAAGTCTATTGGCTGAAGGAGCAGAAGCAGTTCCCGCAGCACCTCCCCCTTTTAAGTAAGAGAGTTCTAAACCTACTACGAAATTATATACAATAAGAACAAATATCCTATTCTAACTAGCTTAAGTCTTATATAATAAATAACTTGGCCAAGTCATGAGAGGAAAATAACTACATTTATATAGTCTTCAACCCCATCGAAGATCTGAGAAGGGAAATAATGTTACCTAAGTAATTAGGAAATGCAATCAAACAACTTCCAAACCATGCAACAAATCACAGAGACAACTGGATACCTGGGCAACCACCCAAAGTCACGTTTGCAGCATTGAAGCAACCAACTTTGGCTAAGGTTCAACGTAACTGACATACCATTTTTAAAGGCAAGAAACTTTTCAAAACTATCTTACCCTGTCTTGGCAGGATATGACAGTTCTATTTTATCCATTTATGGATACTATGTATCTCTGTAAGAGGTTGAGGTATGGACTTTTTCTTTGCCCAAAGGCCAGTTCTGCCAAGAAGAAAGGCTCCAGGTGGAGTGTCTTTGGTGCTCAACATTCTCTCGGGAATAGATTGGTGTTGCCCAAAGCGATTGTGTCTCACTACCATGGAACTCTGAGTTAGATTAAAGGCCATTTTCTACAGCTCTTTGAAGAGGTTGAAGATTATCTATCTATACTGAATATAATATCTATGTATCTAAAGAACCTGCTTAGTCTAATTATAAATGACAAACATAGATGACTATTGATCTATATAATTCTCAATACCTATCTAATTTAAAGATTAAGACAATAAACAACTGTGCAATAAATGAGGACAATGACTTTTAAATATAAACAATGCATAAGTATCTTGATCAGAGGTAGTAATGTACACTGCAATATGGTAAATATATATATGTATATATATATATACATAAACAATGTTTTAAACAGAGGTGGAAGCATACATGTATACAATATTTAATATAATTTAACTTTGTATCAATATACAAGAATCTATACCAATATAATTGTCTATAAACAATAACTTACAAACACCAATCTGTTATCCCATCATCCAATTTTCCCTTTTTTCCCCCAAAAGATCCCTGAGCTTATAAAATTTCTCCCCAAACCTCAACCATATACCAACTATAATCAATCCCTAAATGATGTCCCTAAGCCTGAGAGCAAAGTTTGCTGGGAGAGAGAACGTCGTTCTCTAAAATTGCTTCCAGCTGTCATGGAGGCAACATTCTTTCTAGGGGATTCTGTGAAAGTAAAATGATGGTTAAATTCCAAGATCAATGTCTGATAAGATTGTAAATAGTCTCTGAGTATTTCATGGGGATCTGGCCAGAATGTTGTAAAAACGGTACACTATTTCAGCTAACTAAGTTGGAACCGTCTTATGCAACTGGTGCTCAAAACAGATCTTGTAGTAGCGCTATCAGTATCATGATGTCATATCAACTAGGTGGAGTTGTTGTGGGGCCCCATCTTCTTCCTGGAAACTTTAAAGATTACTGCAGGAAAATTTATTGTTCATTATGGAAAACTTAAGCATTATCTATATAGACATATACAGACATATATATTCAATGAAAGGTATGATAAAGACAAAAATAGATATGAAGAAAGGCAAAGAAGTGTTATCAATTATTTTTTCCTTCTGTCCCATATCATGGCTCTTGACATGAAACTCTGGGTTGTCTCTTAACAACAGGCTTGGAAATAGAGAGGGACTGATTAAGAGTCCAACTCCAAAACCAGTTCTATATATTTATAAATATAAATACATCCATATATATCAAAAAGTATGTGTTGAATATTTTTACTTATGGTACCTATTCAATTTTCATGCTGATCCATATTGGGTTATAAATTGTTTCCATCTGTCAGTATTCAAACATCCAGGGTCCCGTGAATTTTTTAAAGATGAGTTTTTTCCTGCAGAGATAAGAACAAAACCCTGGCCCCATCCTATATGTTTTTCTTACCACCTGTATGATTATCATCATTGTGGATGAGCTGTCATTTCTTTCCAAGAGGTTCCTCCTCTTCAAACCGAACCTTTATTAAATTCAGTGGTATCCACAATTTTTCTTCTCCTGTGGAAACAAGAGCAAAACCACTTCCCTAACGCAGCACATCTTCTGGCTTCCATTGTGAGGTCAGCACATCCTTGAAATAATTTAGCAGACTTTTCCATTATCCAATGTCTTTCTGCTGTCATTCCCCCTTTATCATTAGTGTTAAGGAAATTCAAGGTTAATAAAAGCATTATGTAATCTATTTCTGAGGGCATTTTCCACCCCTTTCTGTTTGTTTAACATATCCTTTATAGTTCGATTCAATCTTTCTATAACTGCTTGACCTGTAGGATTGTGTGGTATACCTGTAACATGCTTAAAATTATAATAAGCAAAAAAGTTTCATTTTCTTAGAGACATAAACTGGACCATTATCTGTTTTTATTTGTGCACGTATACCTATGATGGCCATAACTTCTAATAGATGTGATTACTGAATCAGCCTTTTCTGAGCTTAAAGCAGTTACCCACTGAAAACCTGAATAAGTGTCAATGGTGTGGTGTACATATTTTAATTTGTCAAATTCTGCAAAGTGGAACATATCCATCTGCCAGATTTCATTCCTTTGAGTACCCTTTGGGTTACTCCCTGAAGGTAGTGGTGTTTGGATATAGAAAGAGCAAGTAGGGCATCTCATTAAAATCTCCTTAGCTTGTTGCCACATTATAGAAAACTCTTTCTTTAAACCTTTGCTATTGACGTGATGTTTTTTATAAAATTCAGAGGCCTGTAGCACACTTCCAATCAATAATTGATCAATTTCTGCATTACCTTGTGCTAGAGGACCTGGCAGACCAGTATGGGATTGGATGTGTGTTATGTACATAGGACAAAGCCTATTCCTGATTATGTCTTGCACCTGGATAAACAATGAAGTCAGTTCTGCATCATCAGATATAAATTCAGTGGTTTCAATATGCAAGGTAACTCTTTCTGCATATTACGAGTCAATAACTATATTAAGAGGTTCTTTAAAATCCCTTAGCACCATAAGAATGGCGTATAATTCTGCCTTCTGGGCACAATTATAAGGGCTTTGTTCCACCTTATTCAATTCATTTAATTTGTAGCCTGCCTTCCCTAATTTATTGGCATCAGTATAAAATGTTCAGGTTCCAGTTATAGGAGCATCACGTATGTTCGAGGAAGAATCCAAAAAGTTTTCTTTATGAGGTTAAGTCTATCACTTTTGGGATAGTTGCTATCAATTTCTCCCCCCAAAATAGCACAAGCTCTTTGCCATGGTTCATTGTCTTCCCAAAACTTTCTTATCTCATCAGTAGTAAAGGGCACTATAATTTCTGCTGGGTCTATGCCTGCTAGTTGATGAAGTCTCAATTTACCTTTTATAATTAATTCAGAGACCTTTTCCACATAAGTTTTAAATTTTTTACTTGGTTTATGTGGTAAAAATATCCATTCTAAGATAATATCATCCCTCTGCATTAAAATTCCTGTATGAGAAATTCTGGAAGGCAATATGACGAGAATACAACTAAGCTTTGAATTCACCCTATCCACATGTGCCTCCTGTAATTTTTCCTCAACCATTCTCAGTTCCTTTTCTGCTTCAGCTGTTAATTCTCTGGTACTATTCAAATCTTTATTACCATCTAAGGTTTTGTTTAAAAGAATTATTAGGTCAGGTGTTATCCCAACAGCCAATTGTAGGCTGGAGATGTCTCCTAACAATCTCTGAAAGTCATTAAGAGTTCGTACCTGATCTCTCCTAATTTGTGCCTTTTGTGTCCTAACTTTTTGTAAACCTATTTTATAACCTAGATAATTGACAGAATCTCCTCTCTGTATTTTTTCAGGAACAATCGGCAATCCCCATTAAGGTCAAACTATCTTTACTTCTTCAAACACTCTTTCTAAGGTATCTACCTTTGAATCAAATATCAAAATATCATACATGTAAGGTAAATTATAGACTTAGGAAATAGCTTACGTATTATTTCTAATGGTTGATTTACAAAATATTGACACAGGGTGGGGCTTTTGAGCATTTTCTGTGGGAGGATGGTCCACTGGTACCTCCTAGTAGGCTGAAAATTGTTAAAAAGTAGGCACTGTGAAGGCAAACTTTTCTCTATCTTTTTCTTGTAAAGGTATAGTGAAGAAACAATCCTTTAAATTAATAACTATGAGAGGCCATCCCTTTGGTAACAAAGAGGGGAAAAGAAATTCCAGATTGCTGGGGCCCATAGGTTGACTAACCTTGTTGATAGCTCTAAGATCTGTCACCATTCTCCATTTTCTAGATTTTTTTCTTAACCACAAATACTGGGGAATTCCAAGGGCTGGTAGATTCTTCTATATGTCGAGCATCTAATTGCTCTTGTATCCGCTGTTCTAAAGCCTGCAACTTTTCCTCGGCTAAGGGCCACTGCTTAACCCATATTGATTTCTCAGTCAACAATTTTAAAGGCAGTGGAGCAAGCTCAGCAATTGGTGGGATTTCAAGCCCCAGTCCTGAGGTCAAGTCAGGAGCAAG